TTCAGGAGCTGGGAATTAAAATAAGCACTAAATATCTTGACACTGGAGATGAAATAGTAAAGGTGGGTGCTTGCTGCAGAAGGCCAAGGTGACTGGAGGTCAGAGCTGACAATTTCTGTGTGATTGGAGCCTTCCTCACTCCACAGCATTGCTGATGCACTGCGTGGAGCCCTGCAGCCCAAATGTGCTCCTGGGGTGCATCTGGGGAGGGTTTGTACCCTGGACAGCAGGGCTGATCCCGCCAAACCAATTCTGCTTATTTACCTCTCTTACTCATAGGAGAACTGTGGATTTCAAACGAGGAGAAACACAAAAACCCTAAAAAAAAAACCAACAAAAAAATTACCCAGAGATTTGACCATTGAGCCTGAGGAAATCTCCTGGTTTTTCCCCCAGTAACTGCTCCAAAGTAYGGACATTTTCAGAGATTACCACTTTGCTGAACACCGTTTTCCCCCTCTGTGTTCAATMTAAAGCACTTTTTCCTTCCACAGCCTATAAAAGAAGGCTAATCCACAAACTGAAAGGCAAACCCTTAACTGTTGCCTCTGCTGAGTGTTGGTGCAGAGAATAATGCTCAGCAAGGAGCAATTTCTGCTGCCTGAGGCCTGATCCCTGCAGGATGAGAACTCAGTGAGTGGGAAGTTTCCAAATGAGCTCTGTCAGCTCCTAAAGAGAAAAAGCAAAGACAACAGCAGTGTGAGTGGGAAAAGCCAGCTCGAGCTCAAAGCCTAACAGAGAGCAGAAAAATGTCCTTGCATCCCCATCTAGTGGCTTTTGGCAAAATAAATCCGTAGTGCTGTGGTTTGGATGAGCTCTCCTCTGTCACTGCAATCTGCTCAATGATATGCTCATTGCTAAACTTATTAGCCAAAGCTGCTCGGTTTGATCTGTTTTTGTAAATATTCCTTGGGGTTTGGGGGATGGCAGAACTCACTGACAGTGGAAAGGAAATTTGGACCCAACTTTCAAAGAAGAGTTCATTCAGCTGAGGAAACTTTTTAAGAGTGGGACAGAGCAGAAAGATTCACAGAACAGCCCAAACTGTGAAAGGTGAGCATCCCCCACTGGGCTCATACCCACTCTCCCACTGTTTGTTCTCTCTGCTTACCCACAGAAAAGGTGATTCATCATCCTACATACATTCTAAGAAATATTCTGATTTTGTAGCAGATTTCTGCCTGGCCAAGTGGCTTCTCCTGGGATGCTTTGGCTGCTCAGAGCATTCAGGTCCCTTCCCTTCATGTGTGGTGTGATGGCTGGGCTCAGCCTTGCTCTGAGAGCAGGTAACCAAAAAATAATTTAAATTCTGATCCTCCATTTCCTGTCCCCCTCAATCCATCCTCTTGAACCCCAAAAACCTCTCAGGACCAGTCTCCAGCCTTACTACTTGCACTGCTCTCTTTGCTAGGGACAAAATCTCTTTTGCTGGCAATTCCTCATGTTTTGGTACAGCAGGATTTGCAAACAGCCCTGTTTTGGATGTGTTTAATCCTGCTGATGCTGGACTCCCAGCACATGCTATTGGCAGCAGTGCAAGTACAGCCTGAGAAGTTTAAATTCTGAGTTTGTTTTCCTGGCTGAAGACATGTGAGTTTTTGA